TCCTCGCTACTCCCTTTCCTCTGCCCCCACACGACCCCTCAGGGCAGCCAAAGTGTAAGCCTCCTACTCTGCTTGAGCCCAGACCTACCTACCACCAAGAGGAAACAATCCTGAAAACAACTAGAAATACCTGTGGGTTCCATTGTTGTACTAGGCCTTTAGCAAAGGGAGAGGAACCATGGACACCATCAAAGAAAAGTCTCAGCCAAATAGAAAACGGGTCCGCCACATGGTTGGGCCAGAGGCTGTGCAGGAGAAAGGGAAGGAGGCCAAGCCCTTTGGGGGGGCCTCCCCTCTGCCAAATTCTGGGAAGCCAGGAACCAGAGTGGCCCAGCAGTGAAGGCCCAACTGGTTTCTCTCTGCATCCCAGGAAGGAATTAAATGAGAAGGCAGATGCACATAGGAGGAAGGGAGCAGCTGGTCAGCTTTTCATTCCCACGGGTGCATATCATCTAACACCTTGACTAGCCACTGGCAAAAGGTTAAGTCAGTGTTGTGGGGCTGGACTGAGTGACTGGAGTCAGGATCGTCTGGGTTTTGAATTCTAATCTCCCTTTGTATCGGCCGGGTGGCCATGGACAGGTAAGTGCCTTTGCCTGTGGGTGCCTCACTGCCCATATCTGTCAATTGTACCCTCACCATCTCTGCCTTCTAATGGAAAGACCACTTCTAGTATAAGACCATAGAGTCTCAACACTCCTGTTTTACCCATGAAGAAACTGAGGCCCAAGGAAGGGAACTTCCCCAAGATCAGGCCAGGGCAGGATTTTGTCAGTAGTAAAAGCTACAAATTCATTGCCCTTATAACAATTATTAGTGTTCATCACGATAATGGCCCTGCCACCACCACCCATTTCTAAATTATCCAATCCCTCCTTTCTTCATTTCCGCTTGCTAAGGGAATGGAAAAGAACATTACTTTTAGCTTCAGCAAAACATAATTAGAAAGTTAAACCTACCACAAAAATCATATACTGCGTGCCAGAGCTAAATATAAATGATTAATGGATTGTCCAGGTTGCTGGCTACTGATTCCACCCTCCCCCAGCCCCTTTCTCCCCACACTGGACTATTGCAACAGCCTCTGGAGTTTCCAACCTTCAATTCCTCCCCTCGCCCAGTCATCCTGTACATCTGCTGCCTAGCCAATCGTCCTGAATTGCAATTTCCCTCTTTTTCCTCCAGAGCTCAAAAGCCTCAGAAGGTTCCCCGTTGCCTGCAAGATGAAGGTCAGTCTTCTGGGCCTGGCTTTGCCATCCTTCTGGAACCTGGACTCATCATACCTTTTCAACCTCATCTGCTATGGCTTTGCCCCTAGGATTCTCTGTGCTGGCGAGCCAGGTCTCCTCCTGCTTTCAGCCCAGCCAGCATCTGTCTAACCCCAAGCTATTTTGCTCAGGCTATTCCCCAGCTTGAGGTGACACTTCTGTCCTCCACCTAGGCAAATCTACTCATCATTCAAGGCCTAAGTCAAATCCCACCTCCAACCCTGGCATTCTGGCAGCCCACAACCCGAGCCTAACTTCATGCCTCGTAGTAGTCTTCTTATGTGTAACATTCATGTTGGCAGTGTAACATTATTGCTAAATTGTTTCAAACCTATGTATCTTTTCTCTGGCGCGAGCCCCAAAGATTCTGGAAATCAATTTCATGTAAGTAGCCAAAGTCCCGATTATTACTTCCTCCCCCCTAGCCAATCTGCCTTACCCCCACGATAAGCTTCTTGAGGACAGAGAATGGCATTTATTTGTTCATTTCACATGTGCCTAGCAGAGAGCACACTTAACAACTGACAGTACGATGCTGCTTATTTAAAAAAAATAATCCATAGAAGGTGAGAGGGAATGAGTGAATCTTATTCTCATCAGATTTGGCTTAAGGAGAGAAAAACAGAAACACTCAGTTGGGTATGGAAATCTATCTTACCCTACAGGAAAACAGGGGAAAAGGGGACAAGGGGGAGGGGATGATAGAGAGGAGGGCAGACTGGGGGAGGAGGTAATCAGAAGCAAACACTTCTAAGGAGGGACAGGGTCCAAAGAGAGAATAGATGTGGGTAGGGGTGGGATAGGATTAAGGAAAAAAAATAAAAAAATAATAATCCTAACATTGCTGCTCTCAATTTTCCATTGGAGTTTTCCTCTGATTCTTCATCATCATCGAGGTGACACCAATTTCTCAACAGCTAAGCCAGCCTCTGAATAAAAGGCAGTGGCTCCCTATTACCTCTAGGATCAACAATCAACTTCTCCAGTTGGCTTTCCCAACTGCTACCCCAAACCTCTCCGGCTTTCTCCTCCACACCTTCTATAGGCCAGTCCAATTGGCCTCATGCTGTTCCTCATACACGCTACTCCATTTCCCACCTCTGTACCTTTGAACTGCCTCTTTCCATGATCTGGAATGTACATGCTCCTCAATTCTGTCTCTGGGAATCTTGGCATTCAAAGCTCACCTCAAACACTACTACCTTCTACAAATGGCCTCATGTAATGTACCTTCAGCTTCTTCCGCCTATCCTCCCAAATCACCTATAGTAGGGGTCAGTGACCTGTGACCTTTCAATTTTTTTTTTTATAACTGGTTTCCTTTGTAATCCCACATTATTTTATTTTATCCATTTAAAAGTATTGTTTTGAGGAGTGCATGAGCTTCACCAGACCACCAAAGGGGCGTGCGACACAAGAAGGTTACAAACCTCAGGCTTAGAGGCAGTTTTTAGATCTTTTATGTAGCCCTGTACATCTTCTAGCCAGACAGTGAGCTCCAAGAAACCTAGGGCTTGCTTCACTTCGGTCCTGGTTTCCCCAGCTCCCGTTAGAGTAGATACTTAATAAATGGGGTGGATTGATCAAGTCTAGGCCAGGCAATGGACTTTGGGTCTGTCCAAGGAGATCCTTCCTTTTGGCGACTCCTAGCAGCTGCAGGCCATAGGTAAGGATGATGGGTTTTCTTACAAGGGAAACTCACAAAGCCAACTACCTCCAGATGGACCTGGATGAATGGAGAGTATACTTGGATGCATTCATGAATATTCTAGAATCTGAAGTGAATAGGGCCCCTCCCCAACAGATACAATCATGAATATTCTAGATTCCAGAGGTGAATAAGCACTGCCCACCCCACCCCCATCCTTTTATTCACAGTGGGTCATTGTAGCCACCAGACACAAACTAAAGAAACTTAGAAGTCAGAGATTAAGGAGTAGACTATGACTAGTCCCAGGAATGTTTCTATCTGAACTAAACCACAAACAGGATTAGCTAATAATAAACACTAGGTGATATGCTCCCCGAGAACCGAAAGCCATAATTTTATCCATCAGTAGTGCCAACTGAATACTTGTGTTCCATGAGAATGACTGGATGAAGTCCCAAACTAGACTCCTTCAAGTCTGTTCTTGATCTCTGACCCCAAAGAGGCTCCCCAAGTTTAGAGTAAGGCAGGGAGGGGAGGGAGGAATGGAAGCATCCAGGAGAACTGTCTCCCTTTTTTCTAGGGACCCAGAGCAATGCACTGAATGAATGAGTCAGTGAGTGGGTTTGGGCTACGGACAGAGGAGGTGGGAAGAAGCCTAGCTACTAAGCAGAGATGGTGGTTACCCAGATGGCTTGGTTGAGGATTCTTGAAGTAAAACCATCACAAGTCGCTTCTCTGGGTTAAACGTAGCCAAGACTCATCAGCCAACGTTAAAGGGCAAATGTCAAAAAGTAGATGACACATGGAGTCACTAACACCTTAGTGTGAATTAGTTTTATTAAGAACAAGCAAAGGAAAAGGGACGACAGTAGGGAAGGCCAAGAAGAAATCTAGGTGAGGTTCTAGCGCTGATCTGAACCCAGAATCCCTAGAACGCTGAGTTCTAGGCACAGGGGAGCTGGCCGGAATTCTCATACTTTCTTTTGGCCGGAGAAGATACCTACATGTTACCTAGGCTGAAGCAGTCCTGGATAACACACGAAGTCCGAACCCCGAATTTTACAGAAAAGGACTGGAGTCCAAAAGTGAGGTGACCCTAGACCAAGGCCGCACAGAGAGCCTACAGCAGGGTGTGGATTTGAACCCAGATCCACCGTGCAGCCTCCTGTCTCTAACTTTTGGGTAGGCTGGAGAACAGGAGCAGCACCGCCCACAGTGCCAGCTGCCCTTGGGCACGGGCTGGGTCCTACCCCAAGGGAGCTACACAGCTAACTCGGAAAAGGTGAGCTCCTGCTCCTGGAGAAAGCTGCCCCGCCCACTAAGGACCCCAGAACCAGCCACCTCCCGGAGGGCGCCCTAGGGGAGCGGGGAGGGGCCCCTCAGCTCCCCAGCCTGCCCTCCCAGGAGCCCTCAGGCCCTGAAGCGAACTTCCCGGAATGCAGCCATCCTGCTCCCCCACCCGACACCCCGGGGCCCGGGCCGAGGTAGACGCCTGCCACTGAGAGCTGGAGGCTGAAGGCTGCCAAGGAAGCAAAGGTGCGGCGGCCGGGCCGGAGGTGCCCTTGCCCCAGGAGCCGCGCGGCCCGGGCACGGGCACCCCCGGGAGGCGCTAGCGCCGCTGCCCAGCAGCCCAGCGGCGGCCCCGGCTGCAGAGGAGGGGGGCTGGCGAGGGCGCAGCGGCCGCAGGGAGGGGGAAGGAGGGGAAGGGAGGGGAGGGGGAAAGGCCGGAGGGGAAGGGGGAGCTAGGGTTGGCAACAATACCTCGCCGGGGAGGAGGCGGCCCGGGCGACGGCGGCAGCAGCGGTTAGAGGAGGAGGAGGAGGAGGAGGAGGAGGAGGAGGCGGCGGGGGAGGGGAGCGGAGGAGGGGGTGGTGCCCGGGCGGCACCCGGGGCTCCCCTCCCCCCCGTGCATTGTCCCCAGCCCCGCTAGCTGCCGTCCCTCCAGAGGGCACCGCTCGCCGGGCGGCCCCGTCCCATGGCACGGCCAGCTTGGGCAGGCGCGGCGCCCCGGCCGCCGTGCCCCTCTCTCCCTTCCGCCCCCTCGGCACTCGCTGTGCGTCCTGGCCCCAGCCTGCCCTTACCTTGCCGTGCACGCCGGCCTCCGCCCGCTCTATTAAAGCTACTTAGTCCCGGGGAACCTCACCCAAGGCTAGGGAGCAAGCCCCCAGCGAAAAAGTGAAACTTCGGCAGGCGAGCAGAGCCGGAGCCGCCGCTGGTTGGTGCCTTTTCCCCTCCTTCCTTCCTTCCTTCCTTCCCCCCCTCCCCATCCCATCCCATCCCATCCCATCCCCTCCCCACCCCCTCCCCCAGTCTCCCGGGCTGAGAGCGCCCGGAGCGCTGGGGGCTGACGTCAGGGCCCCGAATTCCTGACTTTCTTTCCCCTCGGCAGATTTGTCCTTGTAAGGGCTGGAGAAGGAGGGTGCCCCTGCCCGACCCGGCCCCGGAGCCGCGGGGGCCGGGCAAGGGAGGGAGGTGGGCGGGGGGAGGGGGCTGTGGAAGCTGCAGCCCCGTGGCCTCCGCTGGAGGCAGGGAGGCTGGCCACTGAGCTTCCTGAGAGGAAGAGGAGGGGAGGCCGTCTACAAAGGAGGGAGTGGAGGAGGGAGGAAGAGGAAGGCGCTGGCGCGGGCGGCGTGGGAGGAGGAGGAGGAGGAGGGGGAGGAGGAGGAGGAGGAGGAGGAGGGAGCGGAGCTGGGCAGCCAGCGATCCTGCCTTTCCGGAGTGAGGGAGAGGCAGCCTGAACTGCTGCAGGAAGGAGGGTCACAGATCTCGATCTAGTTCGGGCAGACTTGCCATCATGACTGGGCACGCCCCGCGGCCCACCCCTGTGGGGCCTGCCCCTCTGCTCCGGACAGGACGTGGCTGAGCCCCCTACTCCTGCCCGGGTTGTCCCGTGGCCGGCGCTTCCTTCTGTTCGCTCTCCCAACTTCCCGGGGCCGTGGCTCCTCCTGCCTGCCCGCCTCCCTTCCTTCCTGACTACTGTCCCAGAGTCTGGTACTCCGGAGCTCGGGCAAGGCTCCTCTGGGCCTTCCTTCCCCAAACTCTTTCCCGGGATGAAAAGCCAGAGGTCACGGTGGCTCTGCAGCTGAGCCCACTTCTCGTCTTCCTTAGCTCTGAGGCTCAGCTGTGCAAGGGGCCGATGGACAATGAGCGGTAGATAGATGGCTAGAGCTGCCCTTCCCTAGGGGAGCGGCCCCCACCTCTGTTTAAATAACCGACCTCTCCTTTCCTCTTCTCCTTATGGTCCCAGTGGCTGCCCCAGAAAGCCTGCCTGGTGACTTGGCCCCTGAAAAGTCCGAGGGCCAGCCTGGCTTCTTTGCCCACCAGCAGAGTGCCCTTAAATATGAAGGGACTGATTTTCTTAGAAACATGCAAACATTTACTGAAAAGAGAAACCGGAATTCGAGGCTACCAAGGCTTGGAATCTGAGGACCTAGGCCCAAACCGCAGCAGGAGACCTTGGGCAAGTCACTACCTCCCTGAGCCTCAGTTTCCTCATTTGTAAAATGAGGGTTGGTCTAGAATCTAGGTGATATCTGTGACTCCTTCCTGCTCTGTGACCAAGGATTTCTCCTCTCTCGGGGGAGAGGAGACCCTTCCTCTCAGGTGGAGCAGTGGATAGGGCTAGCCTGGAGTCAGAAAGACCCTAATTCACATTTGCCCTCAGACATTTACTAGCCATGTGACCCTGGGCTACTCTATCTCTTTGCCTCAGTCTTCTCAACTGTAATATGAGAAGAAAATAGCAAACCACTCCAGTATCTTTGCCAAGAAAAACCCAAATGGGGTCCCAAAGAGTCAGACTCTACGGAAGAACTATAAATATTCTTCAGATTGCCCCCCAAACCCAGCTTCCAGAGGAGACTGTGAGGCCAGCGGTTACTGTAGCAACTAAAGTTTTGCACTTTGGGGGTTCTCAGTTTATTTTCCTGCAGAATGGAAAACTAACAACATTTCTGCTACCTGGCCTTCCAAGAGCTGGGAAATCTCGATCAAATGTTATGATTCCAATGTAATTGTTTGCCCCTCCTCTCCAATTGCCACCTCCCTACCATCTCCCTACTCTAGCTCCTCCCCTTCCTCTCCCTTTCTCCCTCCCTCTGTCCCTCCTCCTCCCCTCCTTCCTCCCTCCCCTCCACCCCTTCTTGCTGAACAGATAGCAGCCCCTGACCGACCATACAGTAGAGACTTTCTTTTGTGACAAAAACCCTAGGATCGAGGCTGGAGAGGTGGAAGGGGCCTCAGGGGTCGTCTAGGCCAAACTTCTCATTTTATTGATCAAGAAACCAAAGTTCAGTAAAGTGGATGTAAATTTAAGTGACTTGTCCAAGGTCATCATGCAGGAAGGAAGTAAAGGGCTTCAAAAAGAAATATGTTCCTTACCCGCCCCCCTCCAGCAGTCATATTCCAGGACTCAGCATAAGATTCATAAAGTGCCTTTATGAAAAATTAATAATGATTTTGCATTTGGAAAAGTTATTCAGTTTTATAGGTTTAGAGTTGGAAAGACCTTAGAGTGCGTAAAATCCACCCCAGTCTTGCATTTGGGAAAACTGAGGCCCAGAGAGTTTAAATGATTTGCCCAAAATCACACATTTAATATGTGGCAGAATTTGCACCCATGTCCTGATTACAAATCCCCTGTTCCTCCCATTGTTTCATACTGCCATTATGATCATTAAGCCCAATTTAGAGATGAGAAAACTGAGATTGAGAGACAGAGGTGAACCATCAAATTACTCAGTGGCACATCCTGTCATCTTGACTCAAACCGTCACTTCCACCCTCTGTCCAGTAACCTGAACTGGATGCCTGAGTCCTTGTCTTGAGGAGGGGCCCTGCACTACCTCCCTGCTTCCTGTCTTTCCATGACATATGGTCTTATCCCATTGGAATGTATGCTCCTTCAAGGCAGGGCCCACTGGCTTTTGTTTGTATCTAGAGCACTTAATATAGTATTTTACAAAATAAATTTTGAACATATATTTGTGTGTGTGTGTGTTTATATTTATATATGTATGTGTATATATGTGTATATTTGTATGTATGTGTATATATATGTATATGTATGTGTGTGTGTGTGTGTGTGTATAAGTTTGTTGTTATTCAGTCGTGTCTGACTCTTTGGGACCCTGTGGACCATAGCATACCATTGCTGTCCATGGTTTTCTTGGTAAAGATATTTCAGTGGTTTGCTGTTTCATTCTCCAGTATATTAAGGCAAACAGAGGTTAAGTGACTTGCCTGGGGGTCACACAGCTAGTAAGCGTCTGAGGCTAGAACTGAACTTAAGTCTTCCAAACTCCAGGCCCAGCACTAAATAGACTGGAACCACCTAGCTGTACACACACACACACACACACACACACACACACACACACACGCAAAACTCAGACCTCTCAGATGTCCATGCCCAGTCCCATGCTCTTTCATATTATATACATATATTAAATATATTTAAATTATTAAATAAATTATAACTATTGTATAATTATTCAATAAATTTGTCATCTAAATATATATTTGCTAAATATTTCTCAATCACACGTAAAAAAAATTTTTAACATTCACTTTTAAAAATTGTGAGTTCCAAATTCTCTCCTTCCCCTCCTGCCCTTCCCCCACTCATTAAGGAGGCAAACAATATCATATCGATTATATAAGTCCTGCAAAACATTTCCATATTAGCCCTCTTTCTGTGCTCTTTCCAATGGATGTTGCTACTGTGTGTTTTGGAAACATGATTTTGTGGCCAAAGTTAGTTAATAAATATGTATTAAGCACTTGTAGTGATCTGGGTGATAAAGTGGATAAAACACAGGGCCTGGAGTCGGGAAGACCAGAGTTCAAATCCAACTTCAGACACTGACTAGCTGTGTGACCCTGGGCAAGTCACTTAACCTTGTTTGCCTCAGTTTCCTCATTTGCATAATGAGCTGGAGAAGAAAATGGCAAACATTCCAGTGTCTTTGCCAAGAAAACCCCAAATGCAGTCACCTAGAGTCAGACACCATTGACTCAACAACCACGATAAAAACAAGCTAGGCGCTTTTCTAAACACTGGTTCTAAAGAAAGGCAAAAAGGAGTCCCTGCCCTCAAGGAGATTACATTCTAATAAAATAGAAACGGTGAAACTATTGTACTGCTTAATAAATACTGTGTAAATGGAATTAGCCTAGCTAACAAGCAATAATCGCGCCATGCAAACTAACATACCTCTGGGCAACCACGGAGCTTCCTCTCCCTGCCCCCAAATGCTTGATGGTAAGTCTGCCTCTGCCATTAGCCCACCTAGGATGGCAGCCCAGAAAATTCCGGAGAGGACGGTGGATGGCCCTCGGCTCTTGAACCACAGCCTTTACTGGAGAGAACACAATTAGTTCTGATTTGGATGATGAGAAAATGCCCCCACTCTGATGACACTGGATTTAACGGAGCTGACCAGCATTTCTTTTTCATTAACCCACTTAAAAGAGAATAATAGGGTTCTAATGAGGATTAATGGTATCTAATAAGGTATAATTAGGGTAATTCATTTCCTTCATTTTATACATTTTAAGAAGGGGTCATTTGCATCCAGAAAAAGTGTTAATTATGTTGTATGACTGTCTGACAAAAGCGGAGGTCCCTCCTCCTGCCAACAGGCCTTTACTACTTCCCACTGGGGGCTGCCAGGGGACTGAGCTAGAAGGACGGTTAATTCTCCAAGCCAGAATCAGCTCCATTCTGCCTGCATTTGCCACTTGGACCCAAGCCCCCGAAGGCTGTTTTGTTTTGTTCTTGCCACTTTCACTTTGTTTGCCATCCTCGTCATGAATTGTAGGTGGGATGGGGATGCGAGGAAAATCAATTTACTTCCCAGAACCACTTAAGCTGTCATACATAAATGTGGATCTGCTTTATTGATGGCTGTTATCTTTGGTATAATTTTATTGTTTCAATAATTTTGTTTTTGATCAGATCATGCTTAGACAAATCATTTTGAGGCATCTGTTTGGACCTCCCTCTTTTTATCGCATTTCCCTTATTGATTACCACTGTTCTAAAAGCATGAGGGCTGCAAATCCTACCACCTCCAAGAGGCCTTTCCCAGTGCCCAGCCACCAGAGCCTGCCCTTTTCAAGGTACTTTCCACCTACTCCATGAATCACATATGTACCTGGTTATTTACATGCCGTCTGAATCACTGGATTGGGAGCTCCTGGAAAGCAAAGACTTCCCCATCCCCCATCCCCCTTGCTATTCAAGTGCTTAGCATTGTGCCTGGCACATAGGAAGAGCTTCATAAATGA